TTTGGCTAGGCATGAATTTAGGGATATCGGGCGGTACGATTTAATGTCTGTTTTGGGTTTTAGGATGGGAAGTACAAGGCTATGTTTGTAGGCTTGAGGGATTGAGGAATCTAGGATTGAGTTGAAATGGTTAAGGACTCTGTGTTTGAATGATATGGGGGAGTTGTTGATCATAATGTATGAGATGCGATCTAAGCCTGGAGTTTTGCCTTTCAAGGAGTTGAGTGCGCTGCTAAATTCAATGAACGAAATGTCCTTTTCTATTTCTAGTGCAGTTTTGGAGGGTTGGTAGTCTAATGTGTGGTTTAAGAGGAATTTATTAGTGCGAAAAGTTGGAGAAAAGTTACCGTCGTCGGCTTCTTTGGACCAGGCAAGTCCAAAAGAGTTAGCGATTTCACTTTGGGATGTTCTGGGGGTGGGGAAAGAAGGGTCGTTAATGCAGTGTATGTGCTTTGTGGGGTAAAGGCCGCAAAGGCGTCTGATGTTGGACCATGTTCTTGCTGGAGATGAGAAGGGACTAATATCGGATGTGAAATTAAAAATAGAGATTCGTTTGGCTTCTCTAATGGCTTTCTTTAGTTTAGCGTTGGCTCTTTTGTATTCTATTATATTATACGTAGTAATGTTACGTTTTAGTATTGACCATTTAGACGATTTGGCATTCTTCAAAACGGATAAGTTTTGATTCCACCACGGGACTGTTCTAGGGAATTGAAAAGTAGAGTTCTGGGGGATTGATTGGTGCGCGCTGTGGATAATAATTTTTCTTAACAAAGCTGCTTCTTTATTGACATTTTCGCTCGGTGGCTTGTCAGTAGAATTGATACGAAAAGATTTTTTGTATGCTTCCCAGTTTGCTTTCTTTAAGTTAAAGGAGGGTTTGGAGGTGTAGGATGAGGGGGAGGCATTAAGGTTCATTGAGATTAAGATAGGGAGGTGATCACTTCCGTAGAGGTCGTCTATTGTTTCCCAGAGAAATTCTGGGGCTATAGTGGATGAAGAAAAGGATAAGTCTATATGTGTGAAAGAGTTGTGAGTGGAGAAGTGGGTGGGGCTTTTGTCGTTTAATAAAATGTAATCTGAACGGTCTAGGAATTTGGCAATAATATTGCCTCTGGTATTAGGGCTAGGAGAGCCCCAGTAGGGGTGCCAACTATTAAAGTCTCCGAGGACTAAAGTGGGTGTATTGTCGAAGCAGAGGACGTTTTCTAGGTTACTTCTGTTAAAGGACTTAGTTGGTGAAATGTAGACTGATATTATGTTTAGTTTAAGTTTTTTATCTATTGAGACTCCAGTTGCTTCGAAGTCTTGGGTGATTGAGATTTGTCTTTGAGATATTGAGTTATGTATCAGTAGAGCTGCGCCCCCGTAAGAGTTGGTGCAGCATTGTTGGTAGAGTGTGTAGTTAATGGGAATGGGTAGAGAGTTAAAGTTGGTTATGTGTGTTTCTTGTAGGGCAAGAATTAGGGGGTTAAAGGTCTTGATCAGGGTTTGGAGTTCAATGTAGTTATTTCTATATCCATGGATGTTCCATTGAATGATTTTAAGCATTAAATGTAAAGAGAAGGTGTATTACTTAGTACTAATTTGAGTGATTAATTAATAAAGTTCCTTGGCAGTGTTGTTTGGGTTACTTCGAGTGTTTTAGTTGGTTTGTATTTACTGTTTTCGATTTGTCTGCTTTGCTTTTAGCCTTTAGGGGTATAGCCAGAGGGTTGGTTTTTTCTTTGTTGTAGCTTCTGAGAGTGCGGTCTGAGGTTGTAGTGTTTGTACTGGTTCTGATAGATTCTGTTGTATCCATTTCGATGTCGTCCTCGCTTGGAGTTTGTGGGGTAGGTTCCATGATGTCGTCGTAGGTCGTGATCTCACGAGTATTCGATTTATCCAGAACTGGGGCGATAGAATTTGATGGGGGTTGTGCTGCAACTTGGGAGTAAGGAGTGGCCTTGTGAAAGTGACGTTGGATGTATATTTTTGATGCGCTTTTGAAGTCAACATTTTCTATTGTTTTTATAGCCATTATTTCTTTTTGTTTAATAAATGTAGGGCACTTATTGTCCAATGGGCTATGATGAGGGTTGTCGAGGTGTTTGCAGTTGATGCAGAATTTAGGCTTGGTGCAGTCTTCGTCGTCGGGGGAGTGAACTTCAGAGCAGTTTGAGCAAGTTTTCTCGTTATTGCAGGCTTTGGTGGGGTGATTAAATTTTTGGCAGTTTCGGCATTTAAGAGGTCGAGGAATGTGTGGTCGAATTTTGACACGTTCATATCCAATATTTATGGTTTCGGGTAAGGTGGTGGTGGCGAAGGTGAGAATGATGAGTCCGGTTTCTTCAAGATTGTTGTCTTTCTTTCTGAGTATTTTATTTACTTCAGAGACGTTTTGCGTCTTGAGTTCATTGAGAATATCTTCATTGTTTATGTATCGGAGGTCATTGGAATAGATGACTCCTTTTGAAAAGTTAAGTGTTTTGTGTTCAGATGCTTTAACTTCAAAGTCGTGGAATTTGGTGAGTTTCATTAGTCATTGAGCTTGGAGTAGGTCTTTGGTTTTGACAAGAAGAGTACCTGCTTTGGTTTTTGAAACTGACGTTACTTCCCCGCAGCATGTATAGTCAATAACTTTTTTGATAATGAATGGACTAACTTTTTCAAAGGATGCGATGTTGTCTTTTCTTTTAATGACGATGAATTTGGGTGTTTGGAAGGGAGCTTTTTCTCGCGGTGTGGTTTGGTTTAAGTCTGGTGGTCGTGTCATGGTTGTTGTTGTTGGGCTGCTGCCCGATGCACTTGCACTTTTGTAACTGTTCAGATGCAGTAATTGTTTTTGCTTTAGTTGGCGAGTTTGCTTTGAGGTCTTATTTGTTTTGACAAAATTGGTAGGTAATAGTTGCAGATTACACTTGCGTGGATTTGCCTATAGCACGTCTTTACTCTTCGGAGTCTAGATTGGTACTGTGTATTTTTTTAAATAGTTAGATAATTATAGGAAATGTTCTGTGTTAGGGTGACCTTTTTAGAGAAAGTGTTTTTAAAGATATTACTTTAAGATCCAAATCAAACCACTAAGCTTTTATTTTTATTTTAATATTTAATTCGATTTGATAATAATAAATTTCTTTTTATATTCAAACAGCTCCTACTGCCTCGGACCACCGTCGCACCAGCATGGGCGCCGCTCTGAAGTCCAACTTCGTGGTGTCGCAGAGCGACCTCTGGGACACGCACACGCTATCGCACGCCAAGCAGCGCCAGTCGCCGCGGAACTACGCCAGTCCGCAGCGCTGTGCGGAGCACCATGGCGGCCACGGGATGGCCTACGACCCCAACACCACCTCGCCCATCCAGCGGTCCGTCTCCGAGAAGAACCGCAACAAGCACCGGCCAAAGCCGCAGAAGGGGACCGTGTGCCAGAGCGAGACGGACAGCGAGCGGGAGCGGGATCCGCCGCCCAGCAGCCAGCCGTGCGTCCAGCCGCGCAAGGTCAGCCGGAGTTCCAACATCCAGCATGCCGCCCACCACCACAGTTCGCCCAATGTGGCCCCAGACAAGCAGCGGAGCAGGCAGCGTGGGAAGCAGGAGAGCACCATCTATGGGGCCAGCAGCGAAACGGAATTGCTCGAGGGCGAGACGGCTATCCTGCCCATCTTCCGGAAACTCCTCACCGAGAAGAGCCCCAACTACCGGGGACGCAGTGCCGTCGGCCAGAGCTGTCCGAATATATCCATCAAATGCGATATCGTCGAGTACTTGTAGGCGGCGCGAGGGATAGGATTGGATTAGGATGCATTATGTAGTCGAACTCCTATTGTTAGATCCAGTTGCAGTGTAAAGATTTCCTTTGTTTTTCCGCGTTATGCATCTACATACTATGTGAGGCAGGACACACACCATTTAGAGAACTAGTAGCAATGACTTGAGATAGTTGAGAAATAAATTACAATTTAAATTAATCATACAACTGGGAGTGTTTGGATTTAGGTGATTTAAACTAAAAAATCAAGGGGAAATCTATTAATGAAGGCTCCGAAAAATGAGTATTAATATGATATAATATAGTATATCAAAATCAAAGATCACATAGTTCACTGTGTACAAGCAGATACGGCAACTGTAATTTATTTGAATGTGCAAATGTTTATGAGTGTTATGATGATGGGGGATCTATTGCAGAGCGATACGCCGGAAGTGATTGTTGAGAGGACCCTCGTCCGAGTAGCCGGCAATTTCCTGTGGTATAATGCCAGACTCCTCGATGGAGGTGCATGGCCGGCACATGCACTCCAGCGGAGCCTTGGTCAGGACCTTCTTGAACTTCCGCTCGCCGGGCTTCACTTTGGGACAGAAAAGCGAGACGGCTGCCTCCCGTTCGCCGGACTCCTGGCAGCACATGCAGGAGCGCTCCATCTGCCAGATCTTACTGCCCGAAACCTGGAAATATCCAATTAGGAGGTATATTTTATGAGGCATTTATATTCTGAAAACCCACCTGAATATAACTGGCACAGCGACCCACACAGGCGAATGAGGGAATGGGTTTCGGCACACAGCCGGGATACTGAAGGACATGAATGACGGGGGTCACCTGGCAATCGTCGCCAAGATGCGGAATATCTGGAAAGGATAAGGAATCCTTTAGAGTCACTATAGAAAATAAAAAAATATATAAGCCCCTATACCATTATCCGTGGCAGCCACAGAAGTATCCGCCTGAGCCGTGCACAGTTTCAGGATGCTGACCAGGACGCAGTAGAGCAGGATCAGGACGAAGACCTTGTTGTTCTCGTGGCGGAGCAGGTGGCGCAGCATCTCGTCGGCCCGACTGCGAGTGTCCCTTCGCGTGGAATGGAAAGCGCCACTTGCAGCCGGAGGGCTTTTATAGACCGACTTGGCCAGCGGACATGGCCATAATGGCCGCCGCTCTCGACTGCGTGAATTATGGCCTAATAAAGCAAGCGCCAGCCAAACCTTTTTGCCTAGTAATTGCGTACACGAAAAGGGCATTTCATCCCGCAGCGCAATGGCGCAACGGCAATCTCTTTATTTCTCCACAACTTATTAGCTAATCAGAGCCAGGCCAAAAGGTTGGCCACCACCGCCAGTAGCAGGACCAATATGGAAGTTGCTCCCTGAATGGATCCTGCATTCCTTCTCTCTAGATATTGGACCAAACCTTCCAGATGATCCTCGGCCCAGGCTATGTTTTCTTTCACCGATTCCAGGGACTTCGAGAGCACCGCCGCCGATTTCCCGAAGTACTGGTGGTTGACATCGTAGAATTCCTGGAACAACTGCTGCTGCTGCCGGGTGGTGAAGTACTCCGCCATGTCGCTGATCACCTCTGCCGTGTCCTCCCAACTTTGGAAGCTATAATTAAAGTATGTTATTGGTTAAATTAAACCAAGAAATGGATCATCAAGGGGTCCACAGAGATCAAGAGCAATTCACGTAGGCGTTTTATAACACAAATTAAACTGGCTATGAAAATGAAAATTAAATATTCGCCTTGAAAGGTTTTAAATTGACTTTTCTCTGAGACACGTAATTTCAGTTTCAACGGGCAAAACATCAATACAAAAAGTTATGTTAATGAACGGTGTTATAACATAACGAAACCATTAACATGGTCCCAAGTTTCCAGATTTTAGGTTACTTACTCATAAGCCAGGACCACAATGTTCTCTGTTATCATTTCAAAAATGGGCTGGACCAATTCGGGGTTCTGCTCATACAACCGGGTTATTCCAATTTTCTTTTTCTCCACACTTTCCGTAGTTTAGCCAAATCAAGGCCTAAAGCTAAAAGACCGACTGTTTTAAATGCTATCGATCCCCATCACTTTAGGGAACATTTATTTTTTGACCCATTTTCACATTTTTTATAAGGGGGTACATCGGTTTTTTTGTAATTCAGATTTTGGTCAAAAATACTAATTTTTTAGTGGTTTTTCAGCCGTAGTTTAGCCAAGTCAAGGTGTACAGCTAAAAGACCTACTGTTTTGAACAGCTTGCTACAAATGCTAACGATCCTCATCCCTTTTTGGAAAATTTGTTTTTGGACCAATTTTCTCAATTTTTGTAGGGGTTACATAACTTTTTTTCGAAAAATGGCAAAAATTAAAAATGTTCAGGTTGAAATGCCAATCGATTGGAAATTAAACAACGAGCTCAACGAGGTATGACATTCCTCATTCTGACTTAAATTTTTGTTATGGCAGCCAAAAAACTGAATTTTTATGGCGAAAAAAGGGTTAAAATTTTTGTCAAAAATACAAAATAAGATTTTTGTCAAAAATTCGAAATTTTTTTCTGGTTTTTTCATCGTAGTTCAGCCAAATCAAGGCGTACAGCTAAAAGACCGACTGTTTTGAACAGCTTGTTACAAATGCTAACGATCCTCATCCCTTTTTGGAAAATTTATTTTTTGACCAATTTTTTCAATTTTTGTCGAAAAATGGCAAAAATTAAAAATTTGCAGGTTGAAATGCCAATCGATTGGAAATTAAACAACGAGCTCAACGAGGTATGACATTCCTCATTCTGACTTATATTTTTGTTATGGCAGCCAAAAAACTGAATTTGTATGGCGAAAAAAGGGTTAAAATTGTTGTCAGAAATACAAAATTAAGATTTTTGTAAAAAATTCGACATTTTTTTCCAGTTTTTCCATCGTAGTTCAGCCAAATCAAGGCGTACAGCTAAAAGACCTACTGTTTTGAACAGCTTGCTACAAGTGCTAACGATCCTCATCCCTTTTTGGAAAATTTATTTTTTCACCAATTTTTTCAATTTTTGTAGGGGTTACATAACTTTTTTTCGAAAAATGGCAAAAATTAAAAATTTTCAGGTTGAAATGCCAATCGATTGGAAATTAAACAACGAGCTCAACGAGGTATGACATTCCTCATTCTGACTCATATTTTTGTTATGGCAGCCAAAAAACTGAATTTTTATGGCGAAAAAAGGGTTAAAATTTTGTCAAAAATACAAAATTCAGATTTTTGTCAAAAATTCGAAATTTTTTTCTGGTTTTTTCATCGTAGCTCAGCCAAATCAAGGCGTACAGCTAAAAGACCTACTCTTTTGAACAGCTTGCTACAAATGCTAACGATCCTCATCCCTTTTTGGAAAATTTATTTTTTGACCAATTTTCTCAATTTTTGTAGGGGTTACATCACTTTTTTTCGAAAAATGGCAAAAATTAAAAATTTTCAGGTTGAAATGCCAATCGATTGGAAATTAAACAACGAGCTCAACGAGGTATGACATTCCTCATTCTGACTTATATTTTTGTTATGGCAGCCAAAAAACTGAATTTTTATGGCGAAAAAAGGGTTAAAATTTTTGTCAAAAATACAAAATTCAGATTTTAGTCAAAAATTCGACATTTTTTTCTGGTTTTTTCATCGTAGTTCCACCAAATCAAGGCGTACAGCTAAAAGACCGACTGTTTTGAACAGCTTGCTACAAATGCTAACGATCCTCATCCCTTTTTGGAAAATGTATTTTTTCACCAATTTTCTCACTTTTTTTCGAAAAATGGCAAAAATTAAAAATTTTCAGGTTGAAATACCAATCGATTGGAAATTAAACAACGAGCTCAACGAGGTATGACATTCCTCATTCTGACTTATATTTTTATTATGGCAGCCAAAAAACTGAATTTTTATGGCGAAAAAAGGGTTAAAATTTTTGTCAAAAATACAAAATTAAGATTTTTGTCAAAAATTCGAAATTTTTTTCTGGTTTTTTCATCGTAGTTCCACGAAATCAAGGCGTACAGCTAAAAGACCGACTGTTTTGAACAGCTTGCTACAAATGCTAACGATCCTCATCCCTTTTTGGAAAATTTATTTTTTGACCAATTTTCTCAATTTTTGTAGGGGTTACATCACTTTTTTTCGAAAAATGGCAAAAATTAAAAATTTTCAGGTTGAAATGCCAATCGATTGGAAATTAAACAACGAGCTCATCGAGGTATGACATTCCTCATTCAGACTTATATTTTTGTTATGGCAGCCAAAAAACTGAATTTTTATGGCGAAAAAATGGTTTACATTTTTGTCAAAAACACAAAACTCAGATTTTTGTCAAAAATTCGAAATTTTTTTCCGGTTTTTTCATCGTAATTCAGCCAAATCAAGGCGTACAGCTAAAAGACCTACTCTTTTGAACAGCTTGCTACAAATGCTAACGATCCTCATCCCTTTTTGGAAAATTTATTTTTTGACCAATTTTCTCAATTTTTGTAGGGGTTACATCACTTTTTTTCGAAAAATGGCAAAAATTAAAAATTTTCAGGTTGAAATGCCAATCGATTGGAAATTAAACAACGAGCTCAACGAGGTATGACATTCCTCATTCTGACTTATATTTTTGTTATGGCAGCCAAAAAACTGAATTTTTATGGCGAAAAAAGGGTTAAAATTTTTGTCAAAAATACAAAATTCAGATTTTAGTCAAAAATTCGACATTTTTTTCTGGTTTTTTCATCGTAGTTCCACCAAATCAAGGCGTACAGCTAAAAGACCGACTGTTTTGAACAGCTTGCTACAAATGCTAACGATCCTCATCCCTTTTTGGAAAATGTATTTTTTCACCAATTTTCTCACTTTTTTTCGAAAAATGGCAAAAATTAAAAATTTTCAGGTTAAAATGCCAATCGATTGGAAATCAAACAACGAGCTCAACGAGGTATGACATTCCTCATTCTGACTTATATTTTTGTTATGGCAGCCAAAAAACTGAATTTTTATGGCGAAAAAAGGGTTAAAATTTTTGTCAAAAATACAAAATTAAGATTTTTGTCAAAAGTTCGAAATTTTTTTCTGGTTTTTTCATCGTAGTTCCACGAAATCAAGGCGTACAGCTAAAAGACCTACTCTTTTGAACAGCTTGCTACAAATGCTAACGATCCTCATCCCTTTTTGGAAAATTTATTTTTTGACCAATTTTCTCAATTTTTGTAGGGGTTACATCACTTTTTTTCGAAAAATGGCAAAAATTAAAAATTTTCAGGTTGAAATGCCAATCGATTGGAAATTAAACAACGAGCTCAACGAGGTATGACATTCCTCATTCTGACTTATATTTTTGTTATGGCAGCCAAAAAACTGAATTTTTATGGCGAAAAAAGGGTTAAAATTTTTGTCAAAAATACAAAATTCAGATTTTAGTCAAAAATTCGACATTTTTTTCTGGTTCTTTCATCGTAGTTCCACCAAATCAAGGCGTACAGCTAAAAGACCGACTGTTTTGAACAGCTTGCTACAAATGCTAACGATCCTCATCCCTTTTTGGAAAATGTATTTTTTCACCAATTTTCTCACTTTTTTTTCGAAAAATGGCAAAAATTAAAAATTTTCAGGTTGAAATACCAATCGATTGGAAATTAAACAACGAGCTCAACGAGGTATGACATTCCTCATTCTGACTTATATTTTTATTATGGCAGCCAAAAAACTGAATTTTTATGGCGAAAAAAGGGTTAAAATTTTTGTCAAAAATACAAAATTAAGATTTTTGTCAAAAATTCGAAATTTTTTTCTGGTTTTTTCATCGTAGTTCCACGAAATCAAGGCGTACAGCTAAAAGACCGACTGTTTTGAACAGCTTGCTACAAATGCTAACGATCCTCATCCCTTTTTGGAAAATTTATTTTTTGACCAATTTTCTCAATTTTTGTAGGGGTTACATCACTTTTTTTCGAAAAATGGCAAAAATTAAAAATTTTCAGGTTGAAATGCCAATCGATTGGAAATTAAACAACGAGCTCATCGAGGTATGACATTCCTCATTCAGACTTATATTTTTGTTATGGCAGCCAAAAAACTGAATTTTTATGGCGAAAAAATGTTTTACATTTTTGTCAAAAACACAAAACTCAGATTTTTGTCAAAAATTGGAAATTTTTTTCCGGTTTTTTCATCGTAATTCAGCCAAATCAAGGCGTACAGCTAAAAGACCTACTCTTTTGAACAGCTTGCTACAAATGCTAACGATCCTCATCCCTTTTTGGAAAATTTATTTTTTGACCAATTTTCTCAATTTTTGTAGGGGTTACATCACTTTTTTTCGAAAAATGGCAAAAATTAAAAATTTTCAGGTTGAAATGCCAATCGATTGGAAATTAAACAACGAGCTCAACGAGGTATGACATTCCTCATTCTGACTTATATTTTTGTTATGGCAGCCAAAAAACTGAATTTTTATGGCGAAAAAAGGGTTAAAATTTTTGTCAAAAATACAAAATTCAGATTTTAGTCAAAAATTCGACATTTTTTTCTGGTTTTTTCATCGTAGTTCCACCAAATCAAGGCGTACAGCTAAAAGACCGACTGTTTTGAACAGCTTGCTACAAATGCTAAC